GTATCTGTCCCTTGGGTATCTGTCCCTTGGGTATCTGTCCCTTGGGTATCTGACCCTTGGATAGCTCTGCAGATGCAAATGTAAGTCAGCCCTTTCCCCTCATCATGAGACCTGCTCTGGGATCCCCTGGCCTGCCTTATCATGTTGATTCTAAGCATGGAACCCCGAGGCACGGTTCTCATCTGTCCATCTGCCCTTGGCTCCAGAGTGAAGAATTCACACTTACCCTTTTCCTCAGTTTACCTCCAACTGTGAACATTAGCCAAGTGTCAAGTCTGTCAGTTGTAACCTCTGACAGAGCTTACCTCGTTGTCTGTTTTTATCCTGGTTTCTGCTTGTCCATTCGTCAAGGCTTTAACCACAGAAGGAGACCACGTGAAGAGCGATGTGCATGCACACGCCAGAGCCTGCGAGACTTGTCAGAGCCCGGAAGCTCCTGTTTACCAGCAGCGTGTCACAAACAAATCCATAAAAACAATTGAGTATCCATCTCACAGGCTCCAAACTTGTCTGCACGGCTGCAGTGGACTCCACTAATCTCCAACCCTCACGACATCAATATCCAATCAAGGTCACAATCCTCCTTCTCCAACCTCAGGGGTACTCCCCCCGCCCCCAGCCCCACAACTGGTGACTGCGTTGTTACAGGCTACAGGACCGCCTAAAGATTTCCCTCCCCCGACCCCCTTTTGTTTGCACATTTGCACTACTAGATCTTAAAACCACACACACCTGCCACGTGCAAGTCTGCTTACTCGCCTGGTGTGTGTGTCTAACCAAGCAGGGGAGAGGGGAGAGAGACAGGGAGGGGAGAGGTAAGAGAGGAGAGAGAAAGAGCCTTGTGTAGTCCAATTTGGCCTCAGTTGAACTCCCTAGGGAGCCAAAGATGACCTTGAATTTCTGTGGGGGCCCGCGCGCGCGGGGGGGGGGCGGGGGGGAGAAACACAGGTGTGTGTGTGTGTGTGTGTGACACTTGGTTCTGAGGATCAAACCTAGAGCTTCCTGGATGCCCGACCAGACAACCGAGTTACACTCATCCTTAGCCCTGAGTGCTAGGACCAGACGACTGAGCTATACACATCCTTAACTCTAACCCTGTGTGGATATATAGTGCTTGAAGAAAAAAAATATAAAAAGACATTTTCCCACAATTTTATTCTGCTTATTTAAACAATACATTAAAGCAGCAGTGTGGAAGAGAGTGCCCGATGTGAACACAGCAAGCTCTTAGGCCCTTACTCTTCACCCCAGGAGCCCCAGGGTGCTGCACCTCCTTGGAGAAATGCCACTCTTAGTCAATCTCCCCATGATACTAGGTGCCTTTGAGACAGTTTTGGTTTGTTTTCTTGGCTGGTTTGTTTTGTTTTCGAGACAGGGTTTCTCTGTGTAGCCCCGGCTATCCCGGAACTCTATAGACCAGGCTGGCCTCGAACTCAGACATCAGCCTGCTTCTGCCTCCTGGGATTAAGGTGTGTGCCACCACACCAGGTTTGCTTGCTTGTTTCATTTTGGTTTTGTATTTTTGAGACAGTAGCCAGGCTGGCCTCATAGCCAAGTTGGCCTTTGTCAGGGACCCCCAGCAAGCCTCTGGACCAGCAGGAAGAAGATCCCGGGAGGAAAAGTATCATTTTTGCAGTCGCTGGGTCAAAAACTTTCCGGAGTCTGGCCTGGTGGTTTATTCTTCTTACACATTGAGCACAGCGATGCTTTAGAAAGAGGTTTCCGTGTGACAGATGTGACAGCAAAGCTTTAAGGCAGCGCTTCATGGAAACTCCCTAGCAAGACAGCAAAGCACCTGTGACCTTTACAATAAGAATGACCTCTCCCAGGCGCTTAGCTGGCTTTTGGTAATCTGTTCCCCACGCTGGATTTCCTGGCCCCCACCTCGACATGAGGGGAGGAGCTCGGTCCTGCCTCAACTTGCTGCTCCAGGCTTTGTGCAAGCCCGTGGGAGGCCTGTCCCTTCCTGAATGGGGATGGAGGAGGTGTGGATGGGGAGGGAGGGTAGGTGGGGGAAGGGGAGCGGGGGGGGGGGGGGGGGGGGCGGGGAGGAGAGGAGGGAAGGGAAACTGGTTGGTATGTAAAAATAAGTGAAAAAAAAGTTCTTTGAATATAAAATTAATTATATTTTAATTAATTAAATTAACTAATTAAAAAGAATGAGTTCTATTGGCTGAGAAGCAGAACTCAGGACTGGGGCCTGGAGGAAGGAGAAAGATGGATTCTATTGATGGAGGATGCCAACCCTGGAGTAATGGGCCCTCTTTCATAGGAATGAGTCCCATTCACGGACAGACAGATTAGGGCCTAAACAATGCTCAGGAAATTGGGGGATTCAGGCAGAGGTTGGCCCTAATAGAATAGCAAAGGATCACCAGGTGATTTGACCACTTTCATTGGCATGCCAGGTGTCAAGCATCATTCATTTCCTTTCTTTGAAAAAAACAGGCCCGTGAGGTCGTCAATCCTGGTTTCTTCCACGCTTACTCTAAACTCCGCTTCCAAAAGGCCTGGAACTCCTTCCTGACCCTCCTGCCTCAGACCTCCAAAGACTTTTCAGCTCCGTGCCTGGAATAGGGATTTTGCTTTCTTTTGTAGTGTTCAGGACAGAACCTAGGGTCTCCTGCGAGCTCCGAAGATGCTCGGCCACTGGGCCACGCCCCCAGCACCCCAGTTGTCAGCTTTGTGTGCCTCACCACACTCCATCACTGGATTGCGCCCCTCCCTTTATCTTCCAGTAGGACTGGGAAACACTCAGGGAGGCTGAGCGATTCACTGGGGACACACAGTGAGCAATCTGGGACACTGGTGGTGGCTCCTCTCTCCGTTGGCTGGAGCCATCAAACCGAAGCACGTGCCTTTCAGAGATGTGGAGGGCAGGATCCCACGGTCCGAGGTGGGGCCAGGCTTGGCTACTTCCAAAGCCTGTCCTCTTGGCTGGCAGCCAGCTTCTTCTCAAAGGATCTTCCCACAGTCCCACAGTGGTCTGTCTGTCTTTTCCGTCTCTTCCTCTTCCTGGGGGGAGATGCCAACTTTCTTGAATTAGGGCCCAAATGTAACATTGTATTCATTGAACTCCCCGCCCTGTTCCTTCCTCCGCCTCAGCCACTGGAAACCATCATCCTGCTCTGAACGTCTACGAGACCAACTGGGCCTGATTTACTTCTCTTACAGTGATGTCTTCCAGTTCTGCTCAGAATAATATCACACTATGTTCACCACATTTTCTTTGCCCACTCCTCTGTTGATGGACCTTTGGGTTGGTTCCCTATCACTATTAGGGTTCTTCCATACATTTAAAAGCAGAGCTACCAGATAACACGGAAATCCCATTAGCAGGTAACTCACCCAAAGGAAATGGAAGCAAGTCAGAAAGACTGGTTCTTTGTCATAAACTGTTTCTGAGAACCGAAAAGAGTGGATTATTTTGGATTACCAAGGAGGGAATGCCTTCGGGGTTTCTGTTTGAAGGAAAACAGCCAGCTTCAGGGGGGCAAAAAAAAAAGACATCAATTTTCCAATGTCCCTTCCTAATGGGTGTATCAGGCCAATTGTGAATTATGATGTCAAAACTGTCTGCCAGGAAGTGATGACGTAACTCCAAACAGGAAGAGCTGGGCAAGGAAAGCCCAGAGCTTCAAAGATACATCTTCACAAAGATTCCTCTCTGCATCGAAGAAGAAGCTCGGGACAGTGGGAAGGAGAGCCTTACTGTGCTGCCATGGGCGTGGCAGAGGGTGAGGTCTGCACCAGGTAGTGAAGACAGAATTGAAGAAGACACAATGGCCTATTGTGTGCTGAGCTATTTGACATGCATTTGTCTCTACTAATCCCACCCCGTCATCCTTAGCTTTGTGAGGGAATACCTCAGAAACAGAAGAGAATCTCAGGGAAAGGGATAATTTCCTGTCAAAGGATCACACAGTCTGTGTGTCTTTCTAGCCCCAGACTTGAGAGCCCCTGGGCTCAGGCAGGTTCTGGCGCTGTGGAGGTCTGTTCCTTCCCCTCGAGCCTTCCTCCCATTTCTAAGAATTCATCCCAAGGAACTAGCCCGTTCCAGCGTAAGGATGCATACTGTAGTGGAGCTGAATTGACTGCACTGAAGAAAAAGGAGAAGTAACCGCCAGTCTGGAAGCAGTTTACTCAATAAACCCTAGCATAGGTGATCGCATTCATAGCGCATATGTATGACCAAGGAGAAAAAATTTGTCCCTATAGTGTGGGGAAGGATTCCTGCATCAGTTGCGAGCTAGTCATTGTGCGGAACACAGACAAGTCGTTAGCTGATTCATGTTATGGGATTATGGGACTCTTGGCCTTTTGTGATGTTTGAACCAGAAGTACAAGTTGCTCTTCTTAGGCTAAAGGGAACTCCATCCAGCGGAAGTTTGTTCAATGCCTACTTCCAATTGCCAGGGTAATTTTCTATTCATTCACAAAGCCGTGTGTGTGTGTGTGTGTGTGTGTGTGTGTGTGTGTGTGTGTGTAAGTGTGAGCTCAGGGCCTCCTGAATGATTGGCAAGCACTCTCCTGCCCAGCTGCCTCCCTCCCTCCCTTCAGTGTTCCTATCTGTAAACTTCTGAGCCCTTTTGTGGTTTGCACTTCTTGATGCTGGTTGTGACTTCTTAATGTTCTCCCATTAATAATGAATTAAATAAATGTGTAAACATATGTTCACTTTATGCCCAGTACCCAGGAGACTGAGACCGTAGGATCATGAGTTTGAGGCCAGCCTGGACTACACAGTGAGACCCTGTTTCAAAACAACACTGACCCCAGCCCCACATAACAGAACACACACACACACACACACACACACACACACACACAAGTCCCAAACATGTGCAAACCAACACAGGCCTGGAATTACACCTTTCAGCAATGTAAACACCACTGTATCTTATGTTTTTCTCAGGGTGGGCTCTTGGGCAAATTTAGTTATCTTAATTCTTGTCTTATTTTTTTAGGCTTAACATGTAATACTAGCGAATAAAATTATTTAAAACAACAAAAGAAACAGGAATCCAGGCCTGGGATATGTCATCCTTTCTAATCAAATCCTGACCGATTCAGATCCCCTTTCCTTCCAGTCTGGATTTAAGGTCAGGAAATGACTCTGAGAACAATCCTGTCTTCCCCAAGTCGAGTAAGGCCACTGGCTGTTGAAGAGATCTGGGAGCAGGTGGGCCTGGGGGACTCTGCCGGCCTGTTGAGTGGAGAGTTAGAGCCTATGGCTCAACCTTCTAAGGGTGATCCTTGGGACTTTCAGGCTCAGGCAGTGGCTAAACCGACAAGACATTTTAAGAGACTGCTTGTGTTGGGCAGTAAGGGTACATGCCTTTAATCCCAACACTCAGGAGGCAGAGGCAGAGGCAGGAGGATTTATGTGAGTTCCAGGACAGACTCCAAAGCTACACAAAGAAATCCTGTCTCAAAAAACAAACAAACAAACAAAAAGGGACTGCTTGTTTGCAAAATGGGATTTTAATGACTTATAATTTAAAAATGCCGAGTGGTCTATTATTTACATCTGAATCTGGTGGCTGGAGCCACAAGGATACTCCAACGGAGCTCATAGAATGTGAGATCCCGGGATGGTCTGAGTTGTGCACCGGTTTAATGTTAGGTTTCTCTATGCCCACCTGAAGAAGCCAGTGGACTGGATCCTTGGCGGTGCTGGATGAGGTCACAGGACACAACCATGATATTTCGCTCTGCCCAGGTCACCCTGAGCCCCTTTGCTCATGGGACACAAAGCATCGGGAAGAATGTTATCAGCCCTAAAAGCAGCTCAAATGTCTGAGAACCAGGGAGCCCCTGGCTGGACAGCCCCTGTCTGGGATGAAACGCGTGTCCCTTTCATCTGCTGCTCTGTTTTCAGACTGACTCATAATTAAACCAGGAAGCGAGCGCTGTGAAGGAATGCTGACTCTTGCTCGCCAGACAGAAGGCGCTGACTCAGACTGCCTGGTCTGAAGAGCTGTTTTCTGCAGGTTAATTACACAAGCAGCTGATTGTAGTCTGAAGCCCGGTGCTTAGGACGCCGCGCGCGCGCCCTCTGGCGGCGAGAACCGCGCATGCGCGCCTTCGTTCTCCAGGGACGTTCCCTGGCTGATGTTCTGTCATTGTGTTCAGCCCGCGGACTCATATTACTCTAGGTGCCTAGTCTCATTTTTTAGGTCTCATGTGTATTACTGGTGAATAAGGGCACCAGATGTCTTGCTAACGCAGCCAGACATAAAAAAGAACGCGGAGCCGGAGATGAATGGGGAAACTATTTTCAAATTTAATTTAAATAAAATACAAGTAATAACTTATTTCCCAAAACCTAGACATACTTTCAATGATATTTATCAGTTTGAAGAATTTTTCATCGAACATACGTTTATCCCTTACCTAGATTCTTTCGCTAACATTTTAGTCTACTTCATGTATATTAATATATCTCTCCATCTCTCAAGCCGTGGGGTTGTTTTTTGTTTTGTTTTGTTTTGTTTTGTTTCTGATACATTTCAAAGTAACTTACAAGTATCAGAACACTTTCTTTCAAACATCTAGCCTTGCATAGTAGCCCTCGGTGGGGTGTGTGTGTGTGTGTGTGTATGTGTGTGTGTGTGTATGTGTGCGCACACGGAAGCATGAGAGTGACACTGAGTGTCTTTTTTTTTTCCTTTTCTATTTTTATTTTTCACATGTGAAGGAAATCCAGAGTTGACATAGAACCCATCCAGACACTGAGTTCTCAGCACAAAGAAGATTTGTTATCCCAGAGGGGAACAGGGGAGGCGGGGTGAGGTGGGGGTGGGGCTGCCTCTGAGCAGAGCAAGACAGCCAGCAGGTGTCTCTGCAGGAATGGTTTTTAAGCAGAAAGGGGCAAGTCCGTTTTAGGGTGAGCTGGTAAGTCCTGATTGGACGTGTTAGCCAGTGTAGCCAAATAATAAATTTTGACTGCTGGACCTTGGTGTTTTGATAGATGAACCTTGGAGTGTTATGTCTAAGGAAGTGATCAAATAAGCGGAAAGACCACGGTGGCTAGCTTTAGAAATGTAATATAATGATCTAGCAAGGGAGAGGGAAGGAGGAAGGGCAAGACCTGCTGGTGCCCTGGTTGAGCCTGTTAGAGGGCCCTTCAGTGTGCACTGGTGTTTTGCCTCCATGTGTGTTTGTGTAAGGGTGTCGGATCCCCTGGAACTGGACCTGTGGACAGCTGTGAACTTCCACGTGGGTGTTGGGAACTGAACCTGGGTCCTCTGGTCCAGTGCTCTTAACCGCTGAGCCATCGCTCCAGCCTCCAGATACCGGGTGTCTTTTTTAGCCACCCTCCACTTTATTTTTTGAGATGGTTTCTTTATGAATCTGTAGCTTATTGATTCAGCCAGACTGACGGACCAGCAAGCCCCAAGGATTCTCCTGCCTCTGCCTCCCAGCACTGGGATGAGAGGCCTGTGCGTCACTTTTTACTTGAATACTAGGGATCCAACCTCAGACCCATGCCCGTGTATCAGTAACTGTCTGCTAGGCCATCTTCCTACTCTAGTTCTCCCTTGAAAATTTATTTTAGCTTTATGTAAATGAATGCTTTGTCTGCATATACACATGTGCAAAAGGTGTGTGCCTGGTGCCCTCAGAGACCAAAAGGGGAATTTGAAGCCTCTGGAACTGGAATTACAGATGGTTGTAAGCCACCATATGAGTGCTGGGAACTGAACTCGGGTTCTCTGCAGCAAGTGTTCTTAATTGATGACGTATCTCTCAAATTCCCGGCCTTATATTTACTTTTACTTTTGAGATTATAATATAGTTACATCATTTCCCTTTTCTCCTGCCAAACCTCTCCTTGCGCTCTTTCAATTTTTTAAAAAAACTTATTTATGTGTACAATGTTATTCTTATGCTCTGGTCCCTTTAAGGGCAAGTCATGTCCACTCCCAGCCACTTCTGACCTCCCTCGTCGCCATCTTAACCCTTCCTTTTCTGTCCCTCTCTCCTGGCGTGTGCACACGTGTCTCTGTCTCTCTCTATGTCTATCTCCATGTCTCTCTGTCTCCCTCTTCTTTAAGTAATAAATATTCAGCTTTATGTTTAGCCTTACGTCTATTTATTATGTCCTGTAAGCCTTTTATCCACCAAATCCATCCGCCAGCTCTGCCACTCGCCCCATGAAACCTGCACCCATCCTGGCGGCCCCCTCTGCCTGGACTAGCCTGCCTCGGTCACCCGCCAACATATTATTTTTTAAGAACAATATACAGTATTCTGCCTGCATGTATATCTACAGGCCTGAAGAGGGCACACACCAGATCTCATTATAGATGGTTGCAAACCACTGTATGGTTGCTGGGAATTGAACTCAGGACCTCTGGAAGAGCAGGCAGTGCTCTTAACTGTTGGGTCCAGGGGGGGTCGCACAAAGATGAGAACACCACCAAGTCTAATAAACCAGAAGCAAACTTTATTCCAGAAACCAGATCCTAGGAAAACCAGAAGTAAACTTAAAAATAAAAAATAAAACACCCCGGGGCACAGAAGCCTATCAACTAGCTGAGACCACAGCCAGAGATGGTGTTTGTTAAGCTGTGGCAAAAGGCCGGTTTCTGAACCCACTTTTTATAGTAGGGGCACCAGGCATTATCTCTGAACAAAAGAAGTTATACAACCTTGCCCTGACCCTTGGGTTGGTCAGTGGAGACCCTAAAGAGGGGAGTGAGTGCTAATGTCAATGGCTAACTAGGCAGACATCA